TGCATCTTCGACATCAAAATTGCCGGATCGAAACTTTGCAAACCAGTTCTGGCACTGGCGTACTGTTAACACGCCTTCTCCATACACATCCGTCAATTTTTTTCTCGCTTGGACAGCATTTTTACCTTTTCTGATTAAAAAAGTAAAATATGATGAAAATGCTGCTTATTGCTCTCCATATTTAAAAGGGCACCAACCAAAAACTACTGCGTATAATTAATAGAACTTTTTCACACACAAGCCTTGTAATATCAGCTCTCAAGACATATAATGGTTATGCGGCTTAAGTGTGAAGTTGGTTTCGAAAAAATGTAATTAAGTCCTCTGACGGGAAAATACGAAATTACTTTCCGAACAACTCAATAGATTAGGGTGTTCACTACAGCTGCCAGGAAGTTGTCTATCTAGATATACAGTAACAGGCTGCATAAAAGAGGCCTGTATATAAGAAAATCTATGATTTTTGCCTCAGTAAATTGGGTTGCAAAACATGGTACATAAATTATCCAGATTAAAAGCCCACAGACTGGAGCCAAGTTCTATTACAGATGAGTCTCGTTTTTGTTTGGTGAGTGATTCCAGATGTGTTACAATCTCGTACTTTAAGTCTGAAAAACGTCCATGAAAGCTATCGTTACAAAGGTGGTAGAATCAGGCTATGAGAGACAGCAATTTGAATGGCCACACTGATCTACACATTTTACCCATACAATTGTGAATGGTGAAATGTAAAGAGATTAGTTGTTTAGGAGTGCAATTGATAATAAATTTCTTCCTATTGCCCATTCTTCATTGTACTGCACTAGTGACTAATTTTCTTAAGGCTGAAGAAATCCAGTGGATGATGTATTCTTTGGATTTAAATTTGGTAGAATATATAAGGGATGCACTAAATATCAACTAACATCATTGTAGCCGCTCGTCACATTCTCCAGCAGTTGCAATGTACTGTTCATCATGAATACACTTTGTTACTACAGAATTTCCTAAACGATCTAATACACAGCGTGGAAAATCATAAAAAGATTTGCATTTCAGTCAGGATCACTGCACACTGTAATAATTTTTTTTTTTTTTTATGCATCTCTAAAAAGTAGTAACAACTTTTTCCTACGCTCTTATTTATTTATTTATTTATTTATTTTTTTTTTTTTTTTTTTTGCAGAAACAGGCTATTCTGCATTTTGAAGGTATGTCAGACATAGCCAAGTAGTTCAGAAACATTGCAAGTTTTCTGTTCTTAGCTGCAAAATAATTTTTAAGTTATGTGTGTTCCTATAATTTTTTCTCCCTGTCAATGGACTAGTGCAAATTTTTTGTAAATAGGGACTACTTTTATAAAATAGATGTTCTGTAAAGCACCTTACTCTTGTCCTCTCTTAAAAAAAAAAAAAAAAAAAAAAAAAAAAAAAAAAAAAAAGTTTATGTTACTACCAGTATATTAATTAAGTTAATAGAAGAAAAATTATATTTTTTAATAACTCAAATCTTTTTTTCAGCAAGTAGGTTGGTCTAGAGTTTGGGTAACATTTATGTCATTAACTAAAAATTAAATAAAGTTGGTGCTCACATTAATGACATGGATAAGCCTGCCAATTTTTAAATAACTGTTCCATGTTTGGATATATGCAAGTAAGCTTAAGTCTAATACTGATTTATACATCAAATTGATTTTGGCCCTTTGTTTTTATCTCAGCTATGAAAACCCTTTCTTATATATAAAAGCAAACAGAATTAGAATTTTTGAAGCACCATTGTACAGTTTACTATACTCCATTTTCACTTGTGATGATGTCCAGAAATTAATCATACTTTTTGTTTGAAATTTCATTTTAAGTCTGTCATTAGAGAAATTAGTTAACTGTTGTCTTGTATTTAGTGGCAGTTTATTATTTTCAAAATTAGAAGGAAAAAGATCAAGAACCCATTATTTTATTTACCATTTATAATTACATTATATTATATTTACCTTTTGGAAACTAAGTTTCAAATTGTGACCTTGAAGTTTCGTCTATATTTTATATAATTAACCCAGTAACTATGTTTCCTCTCAAATCCCTTTAATTTTTTATGACTATTGAGAACAGTCACACATTACACATGGGGGAAAATGGGAAAATGCCCATGTATTTAGCCTGTTTCCTCTGATTTGAACCGGTATGAAACTACCAGTATTCAGCAACGAGCCTTCTATGGAACGTATTGTTATGAACTAGAGTTCATGAAGATGAAAAGAATTACATTGTAGACAGAGAGAGATTTAGTTCATTTAGTTTTAAAAGCACATTTGAAAGATATGCCAGATAGCCACATATCATCAGCAAGAAAAGATTTAAAATCGTGTTAATTTTATTTATAAATAATAAAATATTTTTAAAAACTAGGAGGACCATAAGGGTAGGCTTCAAGAAACACTGGATAAATGAGACTAGGCTAATCCTTTAACATTTCATGCATTAACTCTTTCAAGTAAATTTTGAGTTAGCATTCGGAAACATGAAAAGGGGTATCATTTTATCTCTTTTGAGACCACACACCATTTAGCCTTAATCTGGTTTTTGCAGAATTGGGAGGAGCTTGTACCTTGCAGGCTAGTCGTTCCTCACAAAGGACTAGTTGGCTTTCTTCTGTTTTCCTAACTGCCTTATGTATTATCTTAACTACAAGCAATAGGTTGTAAGGCGGTATAATTTTCTCATAATTCGTAAAATTTAATTTAACTTTCAGGGCTATATTTTAGTGTGTGCAAGCAGTGTCTGATGCCATCATATGACGCCTTTATCAGCCATCAATGTCAGAACCCTTTGGTCTTGATCACTTGTCTATCATGTTTTTTGGGATAGTGTATTTTCAAAAGATACAGAAATAATGACAAAAGGCAGATCGTCATATGTTCTCATTTGTACAAGCATGAAATATTATACATACTCGTTGTTCCAAATACGAATATTATATTATTTCCAAATGATTAATGATGTGCAAAATAAAAAGTAATTAGTTTTACTGGCTGTGCGCTGTTTTTGAGATAAAATATTTTTAACAAACTGTTTATTTTTATGACTTTCATCAGAATACAACAGATGTTCGTTTGTTTTGACTTTCCCTCTTTATCCAATTTATAAATTCAGCAGAGCATTTTGACCATTATTATGCTCGTTACTTTTCATATTCAGAATATAATAAACTCTAACCTTCTTTTTAAGATGCCCACTTTTAAAAGTGACCAGTATTTCTGCAAATATAGTAAACATTACTACTAAATTTCACCTTTCTAATATGACCACTGCCGTAATCTGTGCGAGGGCATCTTAGATAGGCTTTTAATGTTTTTCCATACCTAGTTCCCCTTTGCTAGTACAGTCAAAAGTCGTTAATCCGGACTCGTCGGGGCTTCGACGATTCCGAATTATAGATCATCAGTTTAAATCTCTTAAGATGGCATGCAGAAATTCTAAAATTAAAAATATGAAACCATAATTTATGAAATAAAGAACAATTATGATCTAAAGGGTATCAAAATTTACAAAAAAAAAAAGCTCAATATTTATTTGTTTACTTTATTAAACATTTCTTTCAATGTAAGTTGTTTAAGTTGCTTCGTTTTATGTGATAATACTTTCTCTTTAATTCTATAACAGACATAATTTCTTGTTCAGTTACAAAGTTCCACTGTTCAAGTCCCGTAATTGCTGTGCCGAGAATACCGACTAACTTGTCAATCGAAATTTTTTCGTTTTCACTAACCTTTCTGTCACCTTCTTCATGTCTTTATCCATTTTTTGCAGCAATTCTACTTTTTGTTTGATGGAAATCGAAACATATCGTTTTGTAGATCCTTTGGGAGCTCCAGCATGGGAAATTCTATTTGATATAATCGAAAGTTTAAGTTTACTTTTATAAAATTGCTCTTACAGTCTGCAAAAAATAATAAGCTGGATCCAATTCGAAGATTAAGGTGTTACGCAATCATCAACATTAAGTGAAATAGATAATTAGATAATTTTAGCTTATACCATCCGTTATACATTAAATGCGCACGCGAAAACGTATTCTGCGTTTGCGCACACGCATATGCGCAGTCGTAAAGGTCTTATGCGCATGTGTCAACGCAGTGCATGCGCAGAAAATTTTTAGCTTTGAGGTCCGGATTAAGGGTGTCCGAATTAACGACTTTTGACTGTATTTCTGCTTTTGAAAAAAAAAAAAAAAAAAAAACACAGCATGCCACTGCTGCCAGTATATCCATATATATCTGAGGTATAAAACATAAAAGAGAATTACTAACTTTACTATCAATTTAGCAGTAGTCCTTTAAACTCCTTATTTTAATTTGGCTACATGCCTTTCCTGTCTTAAAACTAATTGTGTCGTCATGAAATTAGTCTGCATTATGTCATCTGCAATGTGACGGCTCTTTTCCAGTCACTGTGTCACTGTTAAAAATTTAAACAGAGACCAACTCTATAAATATTTCAGCTACTGGCTGTGGGAAAAAAGTATTTTCTTCTACTCTCTGTAATTTTGGTAGTTCATGTCTACTTGCTTTGCTGTATCATCTATTGTTTTTAGATATGATGAATTTTGTAAAATTGTCAGGTTGCTTATTGCACCCATAAATAATGTGATTGGAAATATGTATCAAGAATGTCCAGGAATGAATTCTGCGTGAATTTCACAACTTTGTCTGCAAGTCCATCACTCCATATACACAACAGTTTAAAGCTATCTCTTCTAACATCAAGTTATATACAGATAAATCAACATATATATGTTTGGTTTTTTATTAATAACATTTTAAGGATTGGCAAAACTATTCATAATTTAGAAATTGCTGAAAGTATTCATGAAGTCATTGATCATATTTGATGTTTTTAAGAATTAATTTTTTTGAATTAACCAAGATTTCAAATTTATTTTCATTCAGAATTAACAAAAGTTTATTATGTATGTTCATGGATATGCTTTTTAAATGCGAGTGTTTGAATTTGTTTCCTTCCCAGGTTGGTATATCATATGGCAATTATGTCTTTCCCGGCAGACGTTCCTGCGAGAGGTGTTTAAAGGAGATGAGCATGAAAAGGGAAAAAGTTCAGAATCAATGCCAAAAACATGGAAAAGACTATAAATGGCATTTAGATCCAATAATTGTGAGGCATATGTGTTCATATTTGTAAGTAAAGTTTTGCAATATCTATGTGTTCTAAATATTCTTATTAGTTTTAAAGTTTTTTGGGGTAAATTTTAGTTAGAAGTATAAGTACTTTTTATCCACATCCCACCAAAAAATACAACAGATTCATTGCCAACTCTGCAAAGCATTTGTGAACTCCTCTGATATTAATTTTTTGCCAAGTTAATACATGGAAGGCAAGGGCCATTTTTGTAATTGTAACTCACTGAAGCAAAAGCAATCAATCAATAAAAGTTAAAAAGCATAAAACATTGGGAATAAAACTCGTATTTTTTGTATTTTTTTTGCACTGTTATTCTCTCTAGGTGCACAGCAGTGGCGTAGCTAGGGTGGGGCAAGGGGGGACATCTATCCCCAAGCGCAGCATCCAAGGGGCGCCAAATTCATGCTACGAATTTTTTTAATGAAACGTTTTATATTCTTGGCACACAGAAAGGGGCGCAAATTCTTCAATTGTCCCCGGGCGCTGGAAACTCTAACTACGCCCCTGGTGCACAGCAATCTGTTTTTGCTAGAAGAATTGCACAGATTTTGGCATTATGCACATCTTGGGCATTGGACACTGGCGAACAATAAATAAAACAAACAGTTGTTGTAAATGAGCTATGTCTAACTTCAGACCAATTTCTAACCGACTTTCTAACACTTTGCTTATAATTTTTCACGTAGCATTTATGAAGTTTGGCAATTTCTGCTGTTAGACAAAATGCAACATTTCTGCAGAAATACATTGCTATTTCATCTGCTGGTAAATTATACAGTCCCATTGTGATTTATTAGACGGAAAACAAATCTACTCAGTTACCAAAAGAAACAACTAATCAGAAAAAAAGATGATTGGATTTCATAAATGCAAATCCATATAATGCTTAAACAGATATCTGCTACTCTGCATACTTGTGTTATATCTAAATAATTTTTGGCGACATAATGGATTGTCACATGGCTATTTTTATTACGTTGGCTATTTTTATTGCCCTCAGGAATACTTTTTGGTGGTGGTGCAGATAATCAGAGGGTACCAAAATATCACTTACAGAGGCTTTTTTACTAGCTTTGAACCATTGCTTAATGCTGTTGCTATTCAAAAAGAAATATCGTCAAATGTGGTTTTTAAGATTTTTAATATTCTCAAATATTATATGGTTTTGCTTTTGATAGGAAACTAAGGTGATTCAAATAGATAACACTTGAGTATAATTATCAACAATTGTAAAATATGCAAGCATTGTAGCTATATAATTAATACATTTCAAATGATGAGACTCCATAAGTGTATGTAATGAAGCCTAATTATGTTTGCTAAAGTTAGTATATGCCATGCTTTTGAAATTTAAATATGGTATTACATACACTGGCCAATGAATTAGAAACCCAAGATCAATATTTTATTGGACCACATTTTGTACAGATAACTGCTCTGATTTGTTTGGGCATCGAGTCTACATGCTTCTGGAGTGCATTAACATCCAGTGAATACAATACATTGGCTATGCAGCTTTTTAGATCTTGTAAATTAGATGAAAGGGGAGAGTGCTGTCGGATGCATCTTTCCACCATATCCCACACATTTTCGGGGCTATGCGGTGGCCAGGAAAGGTGTTGGAAGTCAGACTGATGTCTAGCGAACCAATTTTGAACACTTCTGGCTCAATGTATAGTTGCATTATCATGAATGAAGTATCTGTCGTCATCAGGGTAAAAATGCAACATTGCAGGGTGCACTTGATCTGCCAGTATATCTAGGTATCTCATGGCTGTTTGTTTACCCTCAAGGAACACCGGGGCACCACTCATGATACTCCCCATATTATGATACTCTCACCCAGACCCTTGCACAGTGCGAGTACGACAAGAGGGTTTCATGGGGTTCTCACCAAATTCAACATCTTCCATCGGTGCAAAATAAGACGTAGCATGATTCAGCCGACTACATTATCCGTTTTCAATCCTCATATGTCCAGTGTCTTCTTTCCTGACACCATCGCAAACAAATTCTTGCATATCAGGCAGAAACGAGTGGTTTTCTCACAGGCACCCACCTATGCATTCCTATTCTCTGCACATGGTTTGAGCTGAAATCTCTTGGGAAGAGCCTTGGTTGACGATCTGTGTCAATTGAAGCACAGTAGAGACTTTGTTCTGTCGTACAATTTGTCGGAGATGATGCTGATCACTCTCTTGGAAAACTTTGCTCGAACAGCAGTTACATCTTTTAGAGAAGGACTGTGGGTTCTGATTGGAACTTTTGAAAACCTTTGAAATGGCTGCTTTTCAGAACCGAGTGAGATTTGCTGTCTTTGAAATCAAGGCCCCTGCTAAACAGCACCAACAATAAGGCCTTTTTCAAATGGTGAAAGATCTGTCATTTTCCCATTTTACTTCATTCATCGTGAAAAGCACTCTTACATCTTACTTATGCTAGCATTCTAATGACATGTAACCCAGGCCATAAAAAAATTTGTGTACTTCATCCTTAGTACGTATTGAAATGAAAATCTCAAAGGTTTCTAATTCATCGGCCAATGTGTATACTATACATACACAGGATATGACAAAAATCTGAAGGGACCATTTATAAAATCAGCATGTTTACCAGAAACTGAACCTGTAACTACCAGTAGTAAACTACTAGTAGTCGCCACTCTTATCTGCTTGGCCACTGGTGGTTTAAATTACAAAAAGCTGGCTGCGTAAGTGTTTCAATGGTTTTTCGTCTTTATTTAATGCAGGATGTTTCAGCGAAAAGTTCCCCTTTATAATTTGTTATTATTTAGTTGCTATTAAAATACCAGACAGTGAACGAAATATTGGCATTTTTGTAAAATTGCTATATTGTCATTAAATGTTTTTTTTTTTTTTTTTTTTTTTTTTTTTTTTTTTCACCTTAATTCATGAATTCTGAACTCTGAGAAAGACGTTGTTAAGTAGTAAAGGAGTGGTTTATCATAATAAAATTACTGGGATATCAATTTATTATTGTCACATAAAATATTACAAAATTAAATAATATATCTAGGTACGCATTAGTGACTGTATTACTATTGGCAGGATCATGCTGAGGTTTGTCCCAGAAAATGTAATGAAAGAGAGTCTTTTTTTCTTCCTCCAAGAGATGGTTAGGCATTTTCATATTTGATGTGACAAATCTTAGTCCCTTTATCAACCTGCTTTTTTTAACACATTATTTTATTACTCTTAAGTAATTACGCTGACAAAAGTGACATACTTTCAAAAAAAGAAAGAAAGAAAAAGAGGGAAAAAAAAAGATATCCTACTGAAACTGCCCGTTTAAAAACATATTAATTCCTGTAAAATCCCTCTGTATTGTAAAATCTGTTTAAAATTTAAACCCTTCTCATCAGAAAATCTGTATGTGTCCTATGCAAAACAAGCAGTAGCTAATTATTTATAAGAAGAAGTAAGTTTCAAATGCTCACATTAGCTCCTGTTGATTAATTGTCAATATTTTTTATTTTATATTTTTTGCTTTTTGTGCAAAAATTAAAGTGAAGCATTTCTGTATGACTGATACTTCTAATTTATAAATTATCTTTTTTATGATAGTGTTATGACATGATATTTGTAAATAGCTTATAATTATTACTGCTAGATTGTGATATTGAAAATTCAAAGGGGCAAAGGAAATTAGTGTTTAATTCTTTGTTCTGTATTTTTCCCCTTAATACTTTCTTTCTTATATTCTAATAATAGCTGAAAGTTTCATCATTAAACATTAGGGGGAAAAATTATGTACATGTACTTTTTTTTAATGATTTTCTTTAAAATTTCTTTAAGCCAAAATCCCCTTTTACAAATATAAAGTTTAAACTAAATTAAAAACTGGTCATATTAACAGAGACAAAATGCTAAGTCAAAGCTAGGATTGCTCACATCTCAGTTATTAGTCTTGATATCTATTCAAATTTTAGCATTATTTTTGCATTTTATAAAATATAATGTGTAATTAAATACCTAATAAATTTTTCCATAAAAATAAAATAAAGGTTTTTTAAAACATTACTTGTAGAATTTCACAAAGAAAGGTATATTAAAATATGCATTAGAAATGCAGTGAACTAACTCTCTTATAGAAAGGACATTTGAAAGTGTTGAGGAATTCTGATATCATAAATAAACATTATATTGAACTTCACTTTAAAGATCTATTTACACTCAATGCACAACAACCTCAATGTAGCTAATTGATGTGTAGAGCTCTGGACCTCATTTAATTAGTTTGTTCACACTTACTTGAACTCATTACAAACATCAACTCCATTTAAACTGATAAAAATTTTAAATTGCAGCTACTGTTACTCTTGTTTGTGCTGAACAAAGTCGGAGATCTGGATTCTTTGGGGCTTCTGTGATTTCAGAATTTTAGATCATTAATTTAAATCTGATGTGTCTTACAAGATGATGTGAAAAAATAACTAAATAAGAAATGTGAAATAATGAATTTGTGATATAAAATCATAGATAAATTTTATAAAGGGAATTATTTTATCTGTTATCCAATAAATATGAGAAATTATTTTCTGCTTTTTGTTCATTACTTATTTATTTGTGAGTCTGAAATTAAATGCACATATCACTTTTTTTCAACTGTTATACATTGACTAAGAACATATTTTAAGATCTGAGATATTAAACTATTAAAAAAATCACATGCTGTTTTATAGCATGTGAATTACACTGTTGCCAAAGTAATTATATAATTACACAATTATACACTGTTACCAAAGTAATTGTATATTTTATTAAAATTCCTTAAAAGTCAATTGTAAAATATGCATACTTATTATATTATTGAGAAACTGATTGCATGAATTTTATTCATTGTTTTAATGTGTTAATCTAATTGCAGCTTTACAGTGCTATACAAAAAAATTTAAACAAAGTTCCAGATGTTCCTTGCTTGAATATTTTCATACATTTTTAGTCCAAAGGGATTTGAATCCCGAAGGACTATTAGTTTCGTTTTGGCATTTTGCGTCGGACTCATAAATGTCGGTTCACTTTTTTTCAAACTGTTGCCACAAAATGTTAGAGTCCTGCATTATATTTGAAGAAATTAAATAATGAAAAATCTGCATAAATGTATGTATATTTTCTCGTATTGTGATAAAACAACGGTACATAGAGTCATCGAATTTTGAATAATGTAATCCTCCAACGAATATGAGCATGTGGAAGACCAAATTTGAAATTTGTGAAATTTGTTTTCTTTTGTATGATTTCGATTTCCTATTTTTAAAAACTTTGATGAATTTTGATTAACAAACTCAAGGATTTCAAAGCGAGCAATGGCAACGTTGTGCAGCAAAAAAAACATTTTTATCTCCAGCGCGTGAGTCTCTGTATCGGAAAATTCTAAAGATATGCTCGTTTTAAAACTATTTTGTGCGATATTGCTGTTGCACTGGATCTTATGGTTTAAGTGTGCGAGGAACATGATATTTAATAAAGAAAGGTGTAACACACAAAATGTTAAAATTTAAAATCGCCCCTTTTGGACGTATTTTTTTCAAAATCTGGAACATTAATTTTTTTTTTTTTTTTTTTTTTTTTTTTTTTTTTTTTTTAAATAATGCGTATTAAATATTCCTTACATAGTTTGTAATTCAAATTCAATATCACAATTTCAGGAGAATTTTTACATGTACTTGTGAATATATGTAACTATAATAAATATCATCTTATCGACTTTTTTAGGTATGCTGTGTATATACTGCTGTTTTTCAAGTGCCATTGTATCAAGTGTGCCTTACCTCAGTTTTAAAAGAATTTTGAAGAGGAGGAAAAATATATGTATATATATATATGTGTGTGTGTGATTTAAGAATACAGAAGAATATTTCAACATGTATCTGTGTACTGAAAATGATGTTTTTGTTATAATCGTAACTACAAGTTTGAATCTTTCAAGTGAGATGTTTATCTAAGAGATGAACTGTAAAGTGAATTATCATGTTATCTCTCCATTTCATTTAAGTAAAAAGAATCATACTTGGCAGTATGTTTAAGAAATTAAATTTCTTATATATATATCTTGCCAAGGAATTTTGCAATTCCTTCCTACATTAAAATGCAATTTTATGTTAAAAAGTTTGCATGGCTATGAATTGTAAAATTTACATATGTTTTCCAAACAGTTCTATTATACACAAACTGGAAGTATTAGAAAATGAAGAATAAAAAAATAACTTGTTTCTGAAGAATATAGTTATTCTTTGCCTGTAATATAAATATTTTACAAGAATTCTCATGCTGGTCTAAAATGTTAGTTGTTAATGTCAGTAAATAAATGTAATTATCTTGTTGTATATTACCAGTATTCGCAGTTATTCATGTAAAGATATAGCATGCCTTGCTTTCTTCCTCATAAATCATCAATATACTTATGAACTTCTTGTAATATTTTTCATATATTCTCATAGTTTTTCATTTTTATACTAAATTGATTGTTCTTACAATTCTATACTTTATATATAAAAATAAATTATTAAAATCATTTATAGTTAAAAAGTATGATCTTATTGAACGGCCACAGCTGTATATTAATAAGTTCTGAAGAAGTTAGTAAATTTTTTTTTATTTTTATTTACTTGCAAAAAAATGGAAAGAAAAAAAGAAATACCTGTTATATATATATTACAATTATTTCTTCTTCCATTATATATATATATATTTATAAGTATTTTCTTCTTCCATTTTATATAATATCATATATATTTTATCTGTAAAGAGGTAAGGAGGAAGGCATTTAGTGTCTAAGCCTTTTAAAATTAGCTGAATTTATTTTAATATAATATCAGAAGTTACATTCAATTAACCTGCCTAATTTCTGGTAGGCTAGCTCATGTATTCTAAATATTTTTTACATTTTCTATAGCATCATTAGTCTTTTTTATCCTATTAATTTAAATGCTCTTAATTAATAATTAATGAAACTGATACTCAGTAAGCTTTCAAAATTGCTTCTCCTTCCTTTTTAATTCTTTTTTTTTATCTTATTCCCCCTAAATTTTTGACACAGCATTAGCTCTCTTTTGTGTATTACCACGTTGTTGGTCTGTCATTCATATTATTGTTTACTTCATATTATTTCAGTTAGCCCTGCCTTGTAAATTTATTTTAATGCTGCATTTATCAAATATTTTATTAATCATTATTTATAGTTTCCCTAAATAATGTTGAAATTTTTAATTTCTTTTACTGTTGAAAAAATGTTACAGATACTTATGTATTTTTCATAGTCTGATAACGTAAATTTTGTTATACATGATTTGCATCATCAAGAAATTCATCTTTGTGAGGTTTCATGTTTTTTATTTATGTTTTTATCTTTAACACCCGTAAAGCTTTGCTTATCTAGTGTTTTTTTAGCATGCAGATTTAAAAAAAAAATGATCTTTCTTGCTTATTTATTTTTGTGAGTTTTACAATCTAATTACCTTTTTCTTAAAAAGATTATATATTTTGAATTTTTTTTGTTCAATTTATTCATGTTGATGTGTGTGTTTCTTTGTTTTACTTGTTAATCTAATTTTTCAGCATATTTCGTTGTTTGTCAATCTTTTTCATAAGTTCAATAATATTATTCCCATTTGCACTTTGGATTGTTTTGTAAAGTAGTTCACATCCCAATTATTTTTGACGTCTGGATTTCTGTGTTCTTCTTTCTCTTAAGTATTCAATAAGTGTTTTATAATCTCTGAGGCTGACCTTTTGACTCTCCTCACTTGTTTTCAACCAAAGTTTTATATAATGGTCCCAAAAAAAAAAATATGGATTAGACAGTAGCCACATCTGGATAGGGTACGGTATAGTTTAAAGGTTCAAGGGCCAGGTTCCAGCTGGTGGGGAGGGGTAAACATCTAGGTGCCTCAATAACAAACATCTGTTCTTGGGAGTGGCCAATGCCAGCACAGGCAAGTGCCCACCATTGGAAAAGAAAAAAATTAATGGATTAGAAGGTGATTGTTTATCGCAGCTTCATTTAGAGGAATGGTGGTGGTAGTTTTAAAAATCTCAGGTGGACAATGATTTTCCTTATATTTGCTTCAAGGTGAATTATACAAAATTTTACCAAGCTCAAATAAAACTGCAGATTTCATTCAGCTCGAAAGCAAACATTATTTTTTCACACCCTTATTAGAAAGTTTGAGGGTACCCAATCATTTTCGTTTGTCTGTCTAGAGTGAAAACAAACTATCCTGCTTGCTGACTCTTGAGCAAGCTACATGTAATGGCCATGTGAAAAATATGGATTTATGAGCTGCATGGTTCTTTCAAGTTAATACCTTCTACATAAAGTGATTGCTCCTGTGTCTTGTTTATAACCATAGCAAATGCAAGTTGGATTGGAAATTGCAGTCATCAGAAATCAAAGTGTATATTTAACATCTTCAATTGCGTCATACCCTGTGATGATGGTGGATTCTTCATAGTGAGTCTTACTCCGTTACACAACTTTCGCAGCTCTATGTTAAGTATCTATGTTGCGTGTATACGGGTTCGTTACGAAATAAATGCACAAATCCGATGAAAAATGAACAAAAATTTATTATTATCACAACAAATATGCTTAAATTTCCTAAAGTATTCGTGCATTATTACAATATCTCACAGTAGTTATCTTTTAACTACTCAAACGTTCAAGAGAACTTAATTAAAAACAGCTAAAGAAAGCTAATCCACGAATTTGCTACAGTCAACAAGAGCAGTTTTCTAAACAAACTCTTAAACAACAACAAACTAACTAAAATCACTCGAACTGAGAGGTTTTCCTCCTTTTATAAGATTTTAAAATCGCGCGCGAGAAATTTGTAGTACTTTCTCGAAATCAAAAAGAGATATTTATTAAATGTTTGTTGGAAAATATGACTTATTGTAACCATTTACTGCATCATCTCTCCTCCTTGAAATGTTTATTAGGCTTAGTTCTTAATTTAAAGTAATATAGTAGTTACTTCTACTTCTTTTTCTTACTGCCACTGTTTGTGTTGAGAACGGACTGTTTCAACCTAATTAAAATGCAAAAACGAAACGTGATGTTACGTCATCTGGAAAGCCGAATCGTGCCAATAGCTGATTGGTTGCCGTGAGATGACGTCATGCCTACTTTTGGTATAGGTATCTTGCGTCGCTCTGGCTCAGCCCTTCTAGTTCCTGCTTTCCTGGCTCTTGGGTGTGCGGCTTCCAGCCCCTTTTGAAGGATGTGTGCAGGTCCGGTGAATAAGTTCCTTGGTTCCTGTCCACAAGATGACTATTCCAGAATAAGTTCCTTGGTTCCAGAGGCTACAATGTGAGTGACTGCCGTGGGCGGCATCCATGTTCTTCATGAAGGCGGCATTTAAAATAAGTTAGTGGCGATTCTTCGTGTTCAACTACTGTAAGCGGAGTTAGGCCAGATTTAAGTGCTTTCAAGGATTTAATTTAAATTTCAGGTGCTTTCTTGACCATTGATCATGGACTCATTGAATATGTAGCCAATTTCATTTGAGACCGCATAAGTTCTGTTTAGGACATTTTGTTTGTATTGAATGCCAGTATTTTTGGAGACCAGGTAAAATATTATTTCATGAATGAAAGTTTGAAAATGATAGTTATATTATATTTTTTTCTAAGACTCTGATATTGTTTAAATTTATTCTTTGTGTTTTTATTTTTTTACATATTGTTAATAAATTGGTTAAGTTTGAAACCTCTTTATTGTCTTCAATGTCTGCACAACATATAATCTCAGGGAGCTTTTATTGCTACTACTGCTAAATGTTTAATTTTATAAACTTTAAACTTTGCTTTAGCATCAATATTACATGCACGCGCTCTTGTATTTTTAATTTTCCGTCTTAGCTTTCCTTTCATATTCGTCACACGCTGCACTGCGCGGGAAATAAAACCATTTAATTTACAATTCAAGTAACATAAGCTATTTAAATACCAAATCCGTAACAATATGATAGGGGATCCTTTATTTAAAGTTAGCTTTTGTGACAATTCCAAAGGATTCAAGAGCATTTAAAAATTCTGTTGGCCAATGCGTAGCTTGCTCTGTATTCATTACTGAATCGATTGGGGGGGGGGGGAAGTGACATAGCTTTTATGACAATGCAACGTGAAATATCTTCACTAGTCCACCGGATTTTTTCCTTCTTTTCTAGCAATGCGTTAATCTGCGTCTTTGTAAAAATATGCTTTAGACGTTTTTCCAAACGGGCTGGCTGCATGGGCGTTTTCGTGGTTTTCTCCATGTGTAACGTGTATACGAGCCAGTTTCCCTTAGAAAGAACTCCATGAAGGCATCTCTCCCCTTGGGCAGATAGCCCTCGAGGCTTTGCCATAATCACACACACACACCCTTAATCAGTATTTAAACTATTCGAAGGTTTGAATAAACTAGGTAGAGAATTTTACACTTCTAAAACAGTGGCGTAGCGAGGGAGTGTATGATGCTCCTGGCGCCGCTCGCAGAGGATCACCAAATAGCCTCCAAACAAGATTTTCCGGAAAATTTCTGTTTTCATTTTGATCGATTTCTGGAAAATATATTTTAAATTAATAATTATTGTAATATAATTAATTATTTATTTTCTTGATTTGTCTGATAAAATGTTTTGCCAAATATCTCCGCATAAAAAAACGTTCTTTCTGACCACTTTATTTCTCTAAAACAGATATATATATATATATATATATTATATATATTTTTATTTTTTTTTAACAAAATGCATGTCTAGCTCACGCTTTTTATTTTAAAACGATAACACGACCTTGTCCCGAATTCTTCAGACATACCCAGTTTACAAAACCCGATTCCATAGTCTGGAAATGACATTTTGGGAAACTCTGACGCTTCCGCTACAATGGATTGCGTTTGACTTGCATATTTCCAACTTTGTAAACGTTATAATTTTCCTTTATAATCTCTCCTGTTTCCTTTTGTTAAAAAGGTTGTCGATTATATGGTTATTTAATACCGAACTCACACTATTCCCTAATTGTTTTGAGCAGTGAATGTGACTGCAAGATGTTCCTCAGTAGAAAGCAACTGAACCTAAAACTCCATTACTATGGAGAAAAATGTTTTACCAGACCTAGGAGTCGCACTTCAAATACTCCTTACTATTTCATTATGAAATGCTAGCTATGAACGTTCGTTCAGCAAATTAAAATAAATTTTGACATATTTACAGTAACCATAGGACAAGATCCTTTAAGTCATCTAGCTTTTTTAAATGTGTAAAGAGAAAAATTTGAATTGATCGACTTTGATGAAGTAATTGATAAACTTGCTTCATCCAAGACAAGAAAAATGTAATTAATTGTATTAATGTATTATAATACTGTACTGCTATTAACAAATATATCTACTTATCTATAATATATATTGAACTTTTAATTGTTTAAAAATTTACTTTTCCGCCGACACAGATACATTTCCGAATCCAGTGCTAGTGTAGTTAGGTAGTGACTGATGTTAATATATTTTAGAGTATTTTATGGTAGATTCAGCATTTTATTATTATTTGCATTATTTTCTTATTACGAATGTATTCTATACATTATATTACTGTAAGTGTTTTTTG